CTTTGGAAGATATTTATGTTTTTCTTTCTAATGATTTTTTAACCTGAGAATAAGAACATCAATTCGAATATAAATTCTTTTTTCCCATCTTAAAAAAGAGAGATACGACAATTGCATTAATGTGGTGCATGAATGGAGTCGATAGGTATCCAAACAATTTGTGAGTTCATTGGAGTCCTTCCAACCACCCCCCCTCCCCCCCCCCAAAGAGGATAATGAGATATTCCGCTTTTTAAAACGAGTGTATTAGAATGAAAGAATTTTAGCTGGGGCACATACCCACTCATCTTTGACTTGATAAGAAGTGTCCAAGAATTATAAATTACATGAGATGCAGAAGGAAACTTACAAAATAGCGGAGGGGAAACCTTGTTCCCTTCAACCCTAATCATTCCTTAATCATAGCATTTCGGTCCCTTGAAAAAAATTCCTAGGTATAGATGGAATATACCCTAAACTATTGCTTTGCACTATCCATCCTCTTAATTTATTTGTTTTTTTAATAATTAGTAAGAGAAAAGTGAAGATTTGAACCTTATGATATTTTAAATGTCAGAGTACGTATTTCATGTTAAATTATTCAAATATTTTTAATAAATATATTTTACATGTTGATTCATTAATCATTTTTAATATTTTAATTATTAAAATTCATGATTTTATTCAATCTTATTTAGGAAAATAGCTACAATTTAACTACAATTCATTCAATTGCTTACATATTTTTTACATCACTTTATGGCAATACAATCAATTTCATAAATTTTATTTTTTTTTAAAAAAAAAAAAGGAAAGCAAGAAACTAAATATAAAGTTGGATTACAACTTGCTTCCGTGATAAAATTAAAACTCTGCCTTACTACTACATCAAGCCTAGCTTCATTATTCATTAATGACTTTGTTTTATTTATTTTGTTCTTTTATGAATTGAAACACTGAAATTGGGACAAAGGAAACAAAAGGGTCCACTTAACAAACACTAGGAAACTTAAGACTTACTTTGGGTAGGGGCCTATATTAAAATAACTACCAATCATGAAGGGGAATTTTTGGAGGTTTTCTTTGTTAGCATAGATGTAGACTAAAGAATTACTGGACACCATAAATTTGGATGAAATAATTTGAATAATTCTCTGCATCAGACTATGTTGTTATCGATGAATACTTTTAAGATTTGTAGAAATAGCTAAGTGTCCTGTTTTATATAGTACGAGTTATTAAAATCATGAAATAAAACAGGTTAGAGAAATAGATCCCTACAAGGTAACGTTTGATGACTATGATATTTGAAAAGATAGTTCTAACTAATAAAGTCATGAACAAATGGTTGTTCACACTTATGCATCCATGCATTCTTTGTCTAGTCTTATAAGTTTTGAGTATTTTTACGTGTCTAGTTAGGAGAAGCTAAAAATTTTTCGAGGAATTAGTGAAGTGCAAAAGTTTTTGAATAAGACCAAAATTTGAGTGATGTCATCTCTAGATTAACTCAAACAATTTTTTCTTTTAAAAAAAATACTATTAATATGTTTATGCATATTGATTTGCATATTT